AATATAATCAAGCAGCCAATGGCAGCATAACTCGAAGATTGATACAGAACGATACATGTACGATGAATCAAATTATAATTACTTAACAATTAGAATTTTAAGTAAACGATTTATGAATTGTTTTCTTTAACTTCGGCTGTGTTGATAAGCACGGCGAGTGACGGCGAAATAAATCCCAGTCTTGGCCATCATTTTATAAAATTTGCCATCGTAGCTCAGTGGTTAAAAGATAGGCGTATTGACCAAGTAGCCACGGTTCGAATCCCAAGGGATATCATATGCTTTTTTTATTTATTTTTTTTTTTATTTTTTGTTCTTTATTATTATTTTTCATTATTATTATTTTTCCAGCAATTATTTTAAGAATGCTTACTCCGTAACGGTGAATTAAACAACTGAAAGTCCGACCAATCCCCGACCAACTATACGGCACTATTGCTTTTATTGTTTTCCAGTTTCCGTAGCGGCTCTAATAGTATTCTCGATATCTAACCACACAATAAACTATTTATCAAATATTGCAATGTAATACTACAGTAGCGAGCGAATATATTTTTTGAATTGTAGAAGAACGTGGATAAATAAAAAAGACGTAAAATGATTTTCGAGACGAATTTAATAGTCGGATCGGCGAGTCTTCCTCATGCTTCCTTTGTGACTGAACAATACAACGAATCAAATTAGATTTACTTTACAACTAGAATTTTAAGTAAACGATATTTGAATGCAGATTTTTTCGTTAAAATCTTATTATTTTAACTTCGATTCTAGACAAGCACGGGCGAGCGCCTGTCAGTTAAAAGACAAGTCTAGCCGATATTGTGTAACATTAGCACGCGTGACCTAATCGGTAGTGCCTTTGATTTCCGATCCAGCGGGCCCAGGTTCAGATCCCAGATGTCATATTTCTTTGATTTCTTTATTTGCCAAAAAAAAATTAGATATGATAAACAATAATTAATCGAAAAGCACAGGGAGACCAATTAGAGGAATTAAGTAGAATACATTAATATAATTAAATGAATAACTGCTGACAAAAACATCGCAGGCTCGAGTTTACAGAAAAGTGATCGAGCGAGCGAGCGAGCGAGTGACAGCTTGTGCCCTCCCAATAACTCTACGATTGCTACCGCAATCTCCGAGTTAAAAATTAGGTAACACCTAATAGCGGAGCTCCAATACCAATATAGAAGCTGAAAATGATTATCTAGTACTGCTATTTCAAAGGTAGATGCTCTGTTCTAAGGAATGTGAGTTACAACAGTTTTGTTGACATGCGAACAAATATTATAAAGAGTCTGTTTATGAGAATTTAGTTCGTACTAATATTGACTTCGGTAGATTTTGTTCCGTTGGATGAAGTTTAATATTATAATCTGTAAAGGTCAATTGATTTAAAGTAAACTGAAAGCTTCTCGGCAAAAAAGTAGTCTACATAAGCTTACAATAATCAACATTGTTTCAATAATCGATGTTTGAACCCGGACTACTCGAACTTCACACATCACAGAAAACTGTATACAAAAATATATTTTTTTACCTTCATTATCGAACTTCCGATAATTCAAAGGTCATCTTCGACAGAGCCATACTTGTTTCAAGCATAGGTTTAATCAATTTATTAAGTCATTCAAGACTGTAGATTCTTTGTTTTTAATCTCTCTCAATCTAACTGCTAGCATGGTCTTGGTTTCCAAATGTCCACACTTTTAGTCGACAAAAGAACTTCGCATAGATCACTGCTTTTTCCCATATTGGTCCATATTATTGAAGTATTTCCAATAAAGTATCATCTCTTTCTTGTCGTCGAAATATCAAAGTAAAACCCTTTTTTCTAATATCACTTTTAAGATGGACCTAAATTGCTTTTCATCTTCGCAAATCGATTTCCTGGATGTGCGGACGCGTCGAAGTTATGACAAAATTGGCGGGAATATTTCTGTGCTGTTATTTCGCTCTTCTGTGGATTTTTTCCTTGTGATTAATTGTTCTAATATTATCAATATGTAATATAAATGTTTAAGGAAAAAATTTCGATTTTTCAACAAATATTTGGCGCTTTGTTTCCTTTTCGAGCGGAGTATGGGTTTCCTGTGGTGGTACACGCACTCCAGGAAGGAAGGACGGACGGAAGGACGGAAGGAAACGTGCGTACGCGCGGGAACCCTGTGTCGGTCCATGGAAAATCGACTCGATGGTATACCATTTTTTCTTAGCTATGGTGCTCCGATATTACTGAGAACGTATATCTAGTAATTATGATATGAAACAAGCTTGCAACAAGCGAGCATAAAATGTACACAATTTGCGTATGCTGTATATTTTTCTTGATTCCAAATAAAAAGAATGATTTTTGAAACTGGATATAGATAAATTTACACCGGCTTTTAAAATTTAAAATTAAAATTGTATTCGCGAAATATTTACTAATTTCATCTTGATTTCCTCAAGTATGTTAAGGCTTGACTTTTTCGGTCTTGACGCACGATCAGCTTGTATTGTCTGTAAAACTAGTTTCGTTTTATTGCAAAACCTCCTCAGTTACAAGACTTTTCTAATATTAGAAAAGATATTAGCTCATTTTTAGACGGATTTTGCAATTCCATTGCGAAACGACGCCAGAAAACACAAAGAATTAGTGGTGTGGTTCATTGGCGGCAAAACCCATGTCCCTGCGTCGGTTAAGGGAAGAATACGGCCTTTGTCAACTACATCAGTATGTGAAGTTACATTTGCTTTAACTTTATGATAATAGTAAATGACAATACTTACAGTACACTGTCAGTGATCTCGTACATGTGCTGATTTCGACTTTATTTGTAGCTTTGCATGTTACTGTTACACCATTCAGATCGGCAGTGGCTGGAATACTCGCGATTGGTCCTTGATGTAGTTTGTCTGGTGTAGTCCATGTATAGCTTACAGGTGGATAGCCCTTTGCTGAACAATTCAAAACCATAACGTCGCCCTCGTTGGCTGAAGCAGGAGCAGAACAAACTGCATTCCCAATGTCTGTTGACAAGAGAATAGTCAGTTATTAATCATGGAAACACTATTCCATTAAAAATATGTCATGCCATTATACTGACTACAAAATTATACTCACATCGAACATAAATAACGACTCTGTTACTTGTATCTGCACCAAAGGTATGCGTAACTGTACAGATATATTCTCCAGCATCTTGTGCTGTGATATTGTCTGTAGTCAATACACGGTTAGTTTTTCCTTCCAGAATCTTGCCATTCATCGACCACGAGTAGTTTCCATCAGGATTAGCTGCTGCATTACAGGTCAGATTCAATTTTTCATATTCATTTAGTACCAGTTGTGATGGAGACACGGTTACATTACGCGGTGGTTTGTCTGTCGATTCAAAGAAAGACACAAAAAGTGCTTCGAAAGTGCTCATTAAGTCTAATTAATGCAGACTATACATACGAAATGTAGATTTGTGCATGGCATTCATCTTGCATTATTCAAAATTGCAACATTGATTTCTGAATATGAAATAGATAAGTCTTATCTCAGACCAAAACAACATTCCAATTGTTCCCTATCTCCTAAATTGTAAAAAGAGTGTGAATCACTATTAATAGCATGCAGTGCATCATCCATTACAACACTACATGTAAATTCATTAGTTGCTCAAACTGAGAGTATCTCCTCTCAACTGGATTCAGTTTCCTGCTGGCATAGTAGACCGTCCTTTATTGTCCGTCGCGTTGTTTTTGCTACAAGTGATGCATCTGATCAAAATAAGCCATCACCGGTGCTTGTGTTAGTCAATCTGTTAGAAGTCGGAATGCTTTATGTTCCTTTGCACCCCTTTTCCACACTGAGCCCTTTTTAGTGAGGTCCTAAACGGGCTTGAGATGGTAGCAAAGTTTGAGATTAGCTTTGCAGAGGTGCATGGATCTCCAGGAAGCTTCTAAGCTCTACCTGATTCTTGGGTGCTGGGAACTCTATGATGGCTTCTGCTCTCTTTTAAGATACCTGCAGACCTTCTGGTGGTAGAAGGTCTCCCATCCATGTAGATCATGCTTTTGGGGTGTAGTTTTGCCTATGATGGTATCTGCTAGGCCACGCTTTCAGCGCTAAAATAGGGTACCTTTGTACCTTTAGTCTGGGGTAGGGTATGTAAAATCACAAAAATTGGTCTGGGATAGGGTAATGGATTTGATGGTCGTGCGGCACACCCCCACCCAAGTAAGGTAGGGAGTACTCCTCCTGCTTTTTGTGTCTGCTCTATTCCAGACATTGTTACCTGTACATTCGATACCAACGTCCTCGTGGTGTCCGCAGTTATGAACACCCCATCCTCCGTGAGTGCACTGATCTAGTGTAGATTCGCCGCCATTACAGACAACGTCATCTAGCCAAATTGGACCAGTTCCTTGTCCTAAGTGATTGAACCCCACTCCATTCTTGTATCCAAGCTGTTTACATGCTATGTTTGTGGCAGTCATGTCCCAGGAGTCAACACATATTGTCCCCCATTGACCATTGTAAAAAATTTGCAAAGTACCTTTCACTGATAACGAAGAATCTGTTTTACTTAACAACCTTATTGGCTGTGTCTTTCCTAGAATACAAGAAGGAAAGAAATACTCAAAAAAAAAAAACGAACAACAGAATAAATTTAGAAGGACTCGAATTTTAAATGCAGATTAAAATTGCAATTTTTGCAATTGTGCCGTTTTAAAATGACTTAGAGGATATACATGGGCGATCGGAGATACAGGTTTTATCTTCGAGTGTTGAAAAGATCTCAGTCTCGCGCGAGTGAGAGTAGCGAGAGAAGATAAAATTCGTACCTCAGGGCTTTACAGCTTTTTCTGTCTGTGCTCCGAGGTTGTATAAGAATAGTATTCCATTAGAAATTAGACAAAGTGATTCATTTAATGGTTTCAAGACTAAACTTAAGACTTACCTTTTTAAATAAACTATATTAATTTTGTATTTCCGTGAATATTTATTCTGTTTTTGTCTAGTTTGTTATTATCATTGTATTAATTTACAATTATTTTTTTTATCATTGTTCAGCGTATTTAGACTTATTGAAAAGTACGCTATGTAAATAAACTATTCAACAACAACAACAACAACAAAATTTATTTCGTACCTATAATGTTTGACATACAAGCAATTGAAGACGGATTTAATAGAATAAATTAAGGTACTGGACCTAACCAAAAACTAAAAAGCTAATAAGATGTTAGGACCAGTCACTGTTTTAAAGTTTGAAAGAAGTGCATTTAGGCTTAAAATATTATTATTACTATTAAAATACCTTTTTTCTTACTTCAACTATATAGACTATGTACACTTTAGTATAAACATACTAATGGTCTATCACTCATACTGTGCTGTGATTGGCTACTCTACTAATGGTCTAATTTGTGATAGACCACTCGCGGGAAAATCAAAATAAATAAATTATAAATTATTTTAAGGATATTTCAATTTGTTTTCATTATTTGACTGATTAGTATGTTTATACTAAAACAATTAGACCTCTCGGCCTCGTGGACTACGAGCTAATAGCCCACTCGGCCTCGCGGACTCGGCCTCATGGGCTATTAGCTCGTAGTCCACTCGACCTCGAGGTCTAATTGTTAAATATACACTATGCCGGTGTGTCTAAAAGCCAGGCAGCCTGACGTTTAGTCCCAGACCTAAACGTCACGCAGTCAATGTTTTTGTGTGAAAAACGTCGGAACAACTGTAATTTCAATTAAAATACAACAAGTGCAATAAAGACCGAAATAATACTGTGGTCATGTCGACAAGTCTGTATAGTCATAAGCACGGCACTTTGAGATATTTCGACTGCCTGACATTTAGTGCCAGAACTAAACATCAGGCAGTCGTTTTTTGTTTTTTTTTGAAAAATTGTTCCTTGAAAATGAAGAAACAGTAGTCCAATTATAGGCCCTGCACCATCATTCACTGTCTGTTGGTGGCAATGATAATTTGTTGCGGTAATGGTTGAAGGGGAAGGCCCACGATATTTTGGCCGACTGATATAGGGAGGATTAGAAAATTTCACTTCCACTACTCTGGTAGGTCACCATATTCCCAATACGCACTTTTCAATTTCCACCTCCCCTACCCCTTGCTAATTTCTGACAACTCTCTCTTATTTCGGTCTTTATTCCATTTCTCTTGTACTATTAATTGAAATTAAGATTGTTCCGACGATTTTTCAAAAAAACAAAAACAAAAAAAACATTGACTGCCTGACGTTTAGTTCTGGGACTAATAAACGTCAGGTAGTCCAAAAACTCAACGTGTAGTGCTTATGACTATACAAACTTGTCGAACAGTATTATTTCGGTCTTTATTTCATTTCCCTGCTTGTATTATTGAAATTACGGTTGTTCCGACGATTAAAAAAAATCCACTGCCTGACGTTTAGTTTTGAGCTGTTAGTTTAAACTGTAGTGCAACAATCAAGTGATCCTCACCTGTATTGCACACGATACCAACGTCCTCGAYGTGCCTGCAGCCATGGACACCCCATCCTCTGTGAGTGCACTGATGTAGGAATGATTCACCACCAGTACAATGTACGTCATCTAACCAAATTGGATCAGGTCCTTGTCCTAAATACTTGAAGGTTGATGCGTTCTGGTATCCAAGCTGTTTACATGCTACGTTTGTCTCAGTCATGTCCCAGTAATCATTACATATCGTCCCCCATAAGCCATTGTAATAAATCTGCAAAATTCCTTGGACTAATGACGGAGAATACGCTTTATTCAACAACTTCACTATGGCTCCTAAGTATAGCGAAAGGATGCGTTTTACTACTATTTGTTTTCTATTATTAAAAAGAGTTAATTCATATAAGTACTAATATTGACTTTGCGATCAAAGAATATGCCATGATGTTTGGATGTGATGTGATG